GAGAGAGGACAGATGGAGGGGATGGGGGAAGAGATTGAGGATGAGAGAGAGAGGAGAGAGAGACACGGGTTTGTTTACAAAGGCAAAGTTCGCAAATCCGCCGCCGATCCCAGTATTCCGAGGGAGTACGCGCATCTGCTGTCACAATGGCCGACGGTCAGTGAATAGAAAACGGAGTCAGGTGTGTCACAGTTGTATTGGCGAATCACTTAAAGAAAAGAAGAATATGCGGCGCCCACCACAGCGGAATCGCACGCCAAGCCCGCCGATGCGTTGTTCTTCTTCTGACAGCAGGTCTAGCGCCAGCCCGGTGTAGTGAGACGTGTTCGAGCCGCAGAGCAGCACGACACGCGACAGTCCAGCGCGGCGCCACAGCCGCAGCGCTGCGCGAGCCAGACGGCAGCGATCACATGCCCTCGTCCGAGTCCGAGTCCTCCTCTAGCGCCGCCTTGGCGTACCTCTCGGCCGCCTCGTGCACCTCCTGAAACCGCGCCCCAGTGAGACGTCACGTGCCGGGGATCACCCCGTGCGGTTGCATACATCACGGCACCGACTGAAGACGCACAGAACACACGCAGAGCCCTTGGAGCAGACCAAACAAACGTGACTGGGGAGCCACTTCAACGGGTGAAGGAGACAGCGTACGCAACTCCAACAAGTTAGGGGGCAACACGTGCTATTTCAACACGTGAGGGAGGCAACAGACGCCAATGCAACAGGTAAGGTAGGCAACCCATGCCACTCCAATGGGTGAGGGAGGTAACACATGCCCCTCCAATGGGTGAAGGAGGCAACATACGCCCCTCCGACAGGTGAGGGAGGCAACACACGCCCCTCCAACAGGTGAGGGGGGGGGCAACACATTCCACTCCAACGGGTGAGGGGGGGGGGGGCAACACATGCCACTCTAACGAGTGAGGGAGGCAACACATGCTACCGAACACGCTATCGTTACATCGCCGTAAGAATACAAAGTGCTCAAGCATGCAGCACAAATATAAATATACATTTATCACCAGATGTCAAATAATACAAACCAGGCATCAAATGACCACCGATACGCGTTGGCTTCATGGCCATGCAGTACCCGACCCTAACACGTTCAGACAACGTATCAATGGCCACTTCACACCTCTCACTGCCTGAATCAATACCAGCTGACCCCGAGAGCCGCAGTCCACTGCCGGCCGCCCACCTTGGAGACAAGCTTGTGCTTCCCGTCGGTGTGCTTGCCCACCCAGCTGAGCTCCAGCTCAAACTCCTTGTCCTTGACCTCGTCGTGGATGACGTAGATGATCTTGGCGGCCTCCTTGATGAGCTCCTCGCACGTCATGTCGACCGTCTTCAGCTTCTCGATCTCGGTCTTGGCCGCCTGGCGCGCCTTGCCGATGGAGCACCCGTAGTAGCCCTGCGGAGATCAGCCCCGTCAGCGGGGCCCATTGCATAGCGGCCCCATGTGCCACTCCCTCACGCATCTCGTCTCCACGACGCGCTGTTGTTATGTTCAGGATTCCCAGCTTCCTACCTTCCTGCTGTAACGACACCCTTCGCGTGCAGACATCCGGTGAACGACGGCCATGGAGTGCAGAGGAGAGCATGCCATCGTTTCCTACGACAACGCGAAAGACGACAAGACTCAGTGTGAATCCCACGCAGCGCAACGCCCGCCTCGATCACTACCACGACCCGATTCAGCCCGTGTCCTCCAGCTGAGGCCGTCGCCGACCACTCACGAAGTGCACGCCGGACGGATCAGCCATGAAGAGCTCCGGGCCGTCGTCGTCGCACGCGGCCATCATGACGCTGCAGCCGAACGGACGCACGAACGAGTACAGCGTGTACGCGTGCAGGTACATGCCCAGCCGGTCGGCCAGGTGGCGGGCTGGGATCGGCGCTCCGTAGTCGGAGCGGTAGTTGGCCGCCTCGGTACGCGCCGTCTCGGCCAGGGCGCGCGCGTCCGCGATCAGCCCGGCCACCGCCTGCCGCCGCGCGGGTCATGTCAGGTCAGGTCAGACGTCTGTAGCCGAGGCGACCGACAGCGTAGCCAGCCGCACGCCAGCCTGTGTGGGGCCGGCGCTTCACATGTCAGGGGGACGCAATCATCACTTGGATGCCGAAGTCCACACGGGGATGTGGCGCACGGACGAACGATTGCTGGGTAAACATCGCGAAACGCCCACACAGAAACACGGGGATGTAAAGGGATGGTGGTTCGGATATCAGCGGAACACATCCTAAACGTCACGACATATGGACGCGGAGACACACAGTCTTGGCACGTTTCCTGTGGCGGCCGTGCACCACAGGGACCATCGCCAGACCAATGACCGATGACACAGGGACCATCGCCAGACCGATGGCTGATGACACAGGGGCCATCACCATCCCGATGGCCGACGACACAGAGACCATCAGAGACCATCGCCAGACCGATGGCCGATGACACAAGGACCATCGCCACACCGATGGCCGGCGACACACCCCATAAGAGACCATCGCCAGACCGATGGCCGATGACACAGGGACCATCAGAGACCATCGCCAGACCGATGGCCGATAACAGGGACCATAACCAGGCCGATGGCCGATGACATAGGGACTATCGCCACACCGATGGCCGATGACGAGCGTACCAGACCGACGTGCCGATCGACCGTGAAGATGCGCTTGTTGGCCGAGTGCTCGAACAGCTTGGAGGTGACGATCTTCTCCACGGCGAACACGACGCCGTCCTTGCCGCGCAGGCCGATCACCGTCCTGCCAGTCGAAGCAGTCCGGAGTCGGTCGTCGCTCTGTGATCCCACAGCGCCCACCAATCGCGCACAGGCACGTTTGGCATGCGAGCCGCACAGCTGATGAACACCTTCATAATCGTGGGGAGCGTGGCTATTGACCAAGAGGACATTGCGCACCGCGTTTTAACAGGTTTAGATCAGATTCCTTTGGGGTTTACACTACCTAATATGGGTTACGAGCCCAATGTTATTTTCATAAAAATTAGAACATGTCGAACATCTTCGAGAGCCAAAACCGGAGGGAATCTCCAAGGAAAACAGGCCTCCATCTAAATCACAAGCGTATTGTGCCAGGTCTGACGTCATAAGCGCCAAGGACCATGTAAACACACATATTGCAGAATCGTCGGTCTTTGGAAGTCAGGCATATTTTAGCTTTCCATTGAGGTGTTTATGTATATCTTTCCAAAGCTGTGGGGGAATTTCACTGCTTGAGTGATATCAAACTGTATGCAGACATGAACTGCTTGACAGGGATGGAATTGCTTCAATTTAAAATATATTAGTTGTTAAGATAACTTTGGTCCAAGTCACTTTGATGGGCTTTAAAAGGGGCGTACCACTAGTCTGTATAGATTTTTAAACTGAGACAACCATCTTGAAGATCATTCAATGCAATTCACAGGTATGCCCTCTTTAAGACCTCAATCGATCCTGTTCCTGAGCTTTATGCATGCAAACTCGTGCAGCCTTTTCCGCGCCGCCTTTCTGGAGGTTACAGCTACGACGTCATAGAAACGTCACGTGAACTACCACCATCTCCATGGCCATGCCGTGCTAATGTCAAGGAAAATGTTCGTATCGAATTATTCGCATCTGGCGTATGTCGACACGATTCGTGACATCAACCATTCACAGTTGACCTTGAACCAGTTGAAAGCCTTGAGCGCGGGCTTCGAACACGAGTCAGGTCTTAAGCAGCATAGAACAGGAATTTCGGCAGAAGAACTTATTTATGATGAAAATGAGGCTGGAAATTGAACAGACTGAAAAACCAGTATAACACAGTATGTGAATGCAAGTAAAAAATATAAAGTCACGGACAAATATACAAGAACACCGCGCGGACGGGTCAAAGCGAGCCCACGTTGCGACATTCGCGTTCAGCAAACATGCATGTTTAACATGCCACCTCTCGACAAGTTGAAGTACTACAAGTGAGTCAGCCCGTCCACTACAATGACAATTATGACGTGGCCAGTCTGACAGTGACTATGACATCATAAAATCGTTCCATGACGTACTCAAACGAACGGCGTATTAAGGAGCAGATCTACTACATCGTGAAATTATGTTGTCTAGAGCCATCTTTTGTGTGCCAATAGGTAAAACAACATTGGCAAGTGACCTCATTTCATCATACCTGATGCTTGCCTAAATGTCTTCAAATGTGGAGCATACCCTTGAACAAAACAATGTGAAACCGATATGCTGGCCAAACAGTGCAGTTCATATTATGACTCGCACTTGCATGCTCTGTCATGTTGCTATTTTTAACTTGCTTGATTTCCTGCCACATATTCAACTCAATATTACTGGAGCATCACTGATGAAAGACAGTGACAAAACCTTAGCACATTGCTCAAGTTATCCTCTAGAAAAATGTACCTTACACCTGCAGCAAAGAAATGCCACAAAAATGACCAGAGCAGTTGCTCTTCCAAGTTATCAGGTGATTGTATCCAAGAATATATCACAGCGGAACATCATGAGAGAAATGTCAGCCTGGCTATCTACAGGGAGGACCACATGGAGCAACCAGGCTGGTGTCATAAGTGATGACTTTCAGTATTCTAAGCCACACAATATGTCATAAATATAACATGCTTGCCTCATTCAGAACATGCCCTACACCTTCAGTTCACAGATCAAATATACTAATACCAATGGGCTAGTTAATTCCTGACCACTTAAGATGGCCAGATACCACTACATCTTTCTTATGGCCAACTCACCCGCTGTTTTCAACAGCCTTCTGTGCATATTCTACTTGAAATACTCGGCCATCTGGTGAGAACTGGGAGGCCGAAAGATCATACTGAAAAGAGTATGGATTTACATATGGATCATTAGCATCTGGGATCTTGTACAGCTATAGCGGCAACACCATGTAGTAAAACATCCCAAATGCTGTGAGATCATCAATTACCTGGCAACATAATCAAAACAATCACATGCACTCACTGGCAACATGGTTTTGGTACATGATGTGTTCAGCCAGAGGAAGTGCACAGTTCATAAAAACTTAGTGATGCTGTTCCACAATATGTGAATTCTTCATAGCATAACAAATGGCACAAATATGCTGCATCACAGGAGCTAACAACTGCTAGCAGCCTATTTACACAGATACCTTAAGCTGACTAACAACAGGATACACAAATTATGATCAGACATATCACAATAAATTTGACACACCAGCAATTCCACAAAATATTGCCACCAGAAGGCAGCTGTCAAAAAGAACAAAACACCTTATTTTGGACTCACCCCTGTGCCAATAGAACTCATTTCTGGGTCCTATATTATGTCTGCTATGCAGAGTCCAAAGCTGCTGCTAAAACACTGATATTTTCTTGAATACTGTGCAACACAAACAGTGTAGCCTTATAGGTGCCACACAAAGAGCTCTGGAACAGCCAGACTGGTCACACTCACATACTGTGATGATCACAGGAAGCATCAGCAGTATCCAGCATTTCAATTATCAACCACATAGGCGGTAGTGATGTTAATATTTTGTCATGCTATCCACTGCTGGCTCATTGTTCCCTGCCAGTTGCTTCTCCACCACTTCCCTACTTAAGATTCTACCTACTTAATTCCCTGCTTGCACCCACAACTATTAGTTGCATTTACTGATATTAACACATTGTGGAATGCATGCTGAGTTGATTTACATCTGCCAGAAAAGTAAGACCCATACTGGGATTGCCAGAATTCTTTCTTCATGCTGTTACACTTCCATACAGCTTTGGGCTCACACAAACAATTTAGCTGTAGATGCAAGCATGCTGCTGCCATATTGTGATTTCAAAAATGATGTAATACATGTCCAGACTACAAAAATACATGCTGCAATGAAAATGTCTAGCCTAGCATTGAAAAAGAATCAAAAACCTTACTGCAGGTGCAGAGTAAATGGAGCAGTCATAATGTTCTGTTTGTAATGTGAAAAGTTCTGCTACTACACTTTGGCACAATAAAGGGACATGAAAAATCCAGATGATTCAGCCTGGCCTGACCTCAGCAAATGCATGCAGAGTTCCTTTGCAATGAGGTTGTGTAAGTGCTGTGAGGACCTTATGGCTGAATGCATGAATATCACAACCAAAAGCTAATGCTGGTGGTTTAATGATGCTTTTGTCAACTGCCTGGAATGTTACAATTGAAATCTAACTGAAATTGTGGCTCTACACTCGTTCTTGGAACGCAGTTGGAAAATTCGTGGCATATTCCGTGCCCATTACACATCATGCAAACGAATTGTCCCACTTAACTATGCACATACCAAGTGAATAGCAGCAAAAAAAACGTTCGGCACACCACCCAGCACAAACCGTAACGCCGACACCCGTCACGACAGCACAAGTCGTGACTGTTCGGACACTCACGCGATACCGCGGCCTGCCGGTCGCGGCTATAAACGCAAAGCTTTAACGGCGAGCACAGCTCCCTGCGCTGAGAAATGTCCCAACCGCGCCAGTTACATACTTTTGATAGTCATGGATAATCGCTATTATTATCGGTAGTGACTAGCATTTCTGCTCGCCAGCAGAAAAATCTTACTAAAAGCCATTACAAGAAAGTAAATTGATTTGAATATTAAAATAACTTTTTATTTAATTCAGAAATCGATGATTTTATCTATCACGTCGTTATCTGAGGCTAATTTTAGTTGAGTATCACAAGCTGATTTCGGTAAGCTGTCCCGTTCTTGATAGCCTACGAGCAAGCAAATGAAATACGAAATGTTTTCTTATGAGCTGCTCAACAATGATATAAAGCAAATAGCCATTGGAAACATATTTTTTATCCTCCGCCACCAGTATTCATGTTCAAATCAACGCCAACAATCCGGCGCCCATTTTCTCTGGAAAAACAGGGAGGGATGCGCCGAATTTGTCGTACGACGCCGCCATCACACACACACGCGGTCGCGTGGGGAAAGTGCGGTCGGCGCGTAAAACCGTGTTTGTGCAGTGGCTCCGCGATTATTTATATGCAAAGTCGGGTTTCTGGTTTTGATACTTAACAAGTGAAAATGAGTTTGGATCCAGCAAAGTTGAAGGTTGCTGAGTTGAAGGTGGAGTTGGAGCAGAGGGGTTTGGACACCAAGGGACTGAAGGCCGCGCTGGTCAAGCGTCTGCAAGATGCACTAGACAGTGAGGTTCTCGCTGATGATGGTAAGTGTTCGACACTCTGAAAATTTTACCATTCGTTCGGTGTGGAAGCACATGTTATGAAGGTGTTCGTGTCTAATGCAGTAATTGTGGTTCGAGCTTGGAGTAAGTCTGAAGGGCATGGATTTCGCCGACGTTATGCTGTGGCGCCTAATTGGTGCTTTTCTGCTGTGAGCCTGGATGGCTGTTGCCAGGGGTATTGATGTGTACTAGTAATTATTTTCAACGCTTACCCAATGTAATAATTATGGCATTGCCGCGATATGTGCAATGAATTACGAGGGGCGCGCCAGATTTGTCTTTATAGCGCAGGATTCTTGTCAATGTATGGTGTGCCTTTGCATCCCTCGGGAACCTTTTATGTTGGGCCTCCTCTTCATTGACAAGGTGTTTGGTTGAGGCTGTGCTGCCTGATATGACAGTTGATATTGTCACAATGGGTATAACCCTGTGGATGAATGTAGCTGTTCATGCCTGGTACCCTTTGTCATCTTATTTGATACCCCAGGTGCCAGTGGGACAGTGCAGTGTTGGGAAAACTTGATGGTTCCTGGTATAATGTATGCCAGGAGATTTTGTACTCCAAGGTTGTGACGGTGTTCTTCAAGTACTTCACCTCTTTTAGAAGAAGAAAAATCTCCACCTCGAGCGTTTTACGCGCAGTGCGGCACGGGCTCAACCATCTCCCGTTAGCAGGATTGCCCAACTTTGAAATCATACAATCCAAATGACATCTTTAACACCAAAAATAAAGAGCAGGCAATTAACATTATTCACCACGTCGTTTTGACCACTGCTACTCACAATGCTCGCATGATTGCCTATCATCTTCAAGAAATGACCATCTGATAATATAATAATTTCGGCCACAAACAGGTCATATGATTATAACACGCAGACGGCCGACGATTTATAGCAAGTACTAAAATGGCAAAATAAGCACCAAATTACGTACATTCGAGCAATCAAGAAAAGTATCCCACTTCTTCACATTCGTGTCTCGAATTGATATTTCCAAACAGACAGCACAGAGAAAAACCCAACAATGTCGGCGGAACTGAAGCATGTCGAGCATTCTTAAAAAGCGGACCAAGCCACGGGAACCGAACACCAAAGCCAAGCCAACGTTTTCGGTACAGTACATTGACGTCTATTAGCGCAGTGCATCTCATACACGAGTCCGGATAATGTGATTCACACTTATTAGGACCAAACACATCGTGACGACATTGTCGCTTAAACTACAACACTTGGGTTCAATTAATATGACTACTCCGTTGCCGTGACATGCTGCCATCATGTCGTGCGGAGGGACTGTCGTAGTACCCTCTTAAAGTAGTGCACCTCTTGTACAATTCCAACGAGCAAGGCTTGAAATCGCTCCGACATCCAGAGACATACTCTGCCGAGATAATATGCCAACAGCCACGCTAAGAAAACGGATCAAGCCTCGGGAAACGAAGACTGAAGCAAGGCCAGCGTTTTCGGTACGGTACATATGCGTCTGTTAGCGTAGTGCACCTCACACACGAGTCCGGATAATGCGATTCACACCCTTAGAACTGAACACGTCGTGCTGACAATGTCGATGGAACTGCAAGACTTCGGTCCGATGAATAAGACTCATGCATTGCCGTCAGATGCTGCAATCATGTCGTGCAGAGTGACTGTCGTAGCACCCTCTTAAAGTGGTGCACCTCTTGTACAATTCCAACGAGGAAGGCTTGAAATCGCTCTGACATCCAGAGACATACTCTGCCGAGATATTATGCCAACAGCCACCCTAAGGAAACGGATGAAGCCCCGGGAAACGAAGCCTGAAGCAAGGCCAGCGTTTTCGGTACGGTACATATACGTCTATTAGCGTAGTGCACCTAACACACGAGTCCGGATCATGCGATTCACACTTATTAGGACCAAACACATCTTGCTGACGATGTCGGTGGATATGCCAGACCACGGTCCGATGAATAAGACTCATGCATTGCCGTCAGATGTTGCCATCATTGGCGGACGGACTGCAGTAGCACCCTCTTCAAGTAGTACACCTCTGGTATAATTCCAATCGGCGGAACCTAAAAACCGCTCTGATATCCAAAGACGTACTCTGCCGAGACAAAATGCCAACAGCCACCCCAAGAAAACGGACCAAGCCCCGGGAAGCGAAGTCTGAAGCAAGGCCAACGTTTTCGGTACGGTACATATACGTCTGTTAGCGTAGTGCACCTCACACACGAGTCCGGAATCATACAAGAGGTGTACTACTTGAAGAGTGTGCTACTGCAGTCCGTCCGCCAATGACGGCAACATCTGATGGCAATGCATGAGTCTTATTCATCGGACCGTGGTCTGGCATATCCACCGACATCGTCAGCAAGATGTGTTTGGTCCTAATAAGTGTGAATGGCATGATCTGGACTTGTGTGTGAGGTGCACTACGCTAACAGACGTATATGTACCGTACCGAAAACGCTGGCCTTGCTTCAGTCTTCGTTTCCCGAGGCTTGATCCGTTTCCTTAGCGTGGCTGTTGGCATATTATCTCGGCAGAGTATGTCTCTGGATGTCAGAGCGATTTCAAGCCTTGCTCGTTGGAATTGTACAAGAGGTGCACTACTTTAAGAGGGTACTACGACAGTCCCTCCGCACGACATGATGGCAGCATGTCACGGCAACGGAGTAGTCATATTAATTGAACCCAAGTGTTGTAGTTTAAGCGACAATGTCGTCACGATGTGTTTGGTCCTAATAAGTGTGAATCACATTATCCGGACTCGTGTATGAGATGCACTGCGCTAATAGACGTCAATGTACCGTACCGAAAACGTTGGCTTGGCTTCGGTGTTTGGTTCCCGTGGCTTGGTCCGTTTTTTAAGAATGCTCGAAATGCTTCAGTTCCGCCGACATTGTTGGGTTTTTCTCTGTGCTGTCTGTTTGGAAATATCAATTCGAGACACGAATGTGAAGAAGTGGGATACTTTTCTTGATTGCTCGAAGGTACGTAATTTGGTGCTTATGTTGCCCTTTTAGTACATGCTGTAAATCGTCGGCTGTCTGCGTGTTAAAAATCATGTGACCTGTTTGTGGCCGAAATTATTATATTATCAGATGGTTATTTCTTGAAGATGATAGGCAGTCATGCGAGTATTGTGAGTAGCAGTGGTCGAAACGACGTAGTGAATAATGTTAATTGCCTGCTCTTTATTTTTGGTGCTAAAGATGTCGTTCGGAATGTATAATTTCAAAGTTGGGCAATCCTGCTAACGCGAGCTGGTTGGGCCCGTGCCGCACTGCGCGTAAAACGCTCGCGGTGGAGATTTTTCTTCTTCTGAAAAAGGTGAAGTACTTGAAGAATACCGTTGTGACTAGGTAAAATGGAATATTATGTACTTTATGATGCAACAAGAACAGCTTTTGGAAAAATTCATTTTACTGCTGTCAGAACAAAATAAAAACAGGAGGTGCAACAGCTTGAGACTTGCTGCTTTCATTAGGAGCCATATATTGATGTCTGCAAAGGCACAAATCTTGCACCTGCCAGACTGAGGTGCCCAATAGCAAGCAGCCTGTATTGCCACCTAGGTATAGGATAAATCATGTATGGAAATGTAAAAAATAAAGTGTGTGAATATTGAATGGAATCACCTTTGAACAATACTGGGAAATGAGAAACAAGTACCAGAATCACATTGGTCTGTAGATCAGCAGAGCTCCCGCTTCCTACGCCCTATGCAGATCAACTCAAACTTGAACATGACTTGAATACCATTGATGATGAACCATGTTAATTACCAAGGATGTAATGATCATTAATAGAAAACTGCATGCTCAATCATCTACCACAGACTGCTGCCTACCCATGTGTCACCACTGGCATGGCAATGCAAACAAGAGAATCACTCGCAATTCAGCGTCAGAAACATCTCAACTATTCAGCGGCTTGCGCCCACTTCCCAACGCAGGTTGGAGGCTGAACATGGCAAAACTCCAATTGGTTTTAATTATTTGCCTCCTTGTGACTGATTTGTCAAGAGCATAAATATTCTGCTTGTGCTCATGCCTTGAACAGATCTGTAAACATTTGGAGGGAAGCTGTATGGAGATGGGCATCACGATTATGGAGAAGGAATTATTTGTATTTTGCACTCTGTCAGTCACTCTGCTGACTGGCAGATATTGCAAGGTGTCATTGGATTTTGATGAGCTTTAACTGATATCATTGTGAAATATAATTTATGTTGCAATGAATTGATGTTTTTGTCCTAACAAACCCTTCTCCTTAATTTGCCAGGCCAAAGTTACCAGTTCATGTTACTCTGGTGTCATGGTGTTTTTGCTGTAGAGAGATGGGTGCCTCTTAACAGTTTTTTGGCTATTTATAGTAATGTTCTTTGACTGAAAAGGACATTTTTGTAAAGCCTGAATTACCAGCTTTAATTTCACACCCTGAAGTGACAAATTTAACTTGATTTAAATCCACAGCTGCCATGACATTTTTGTGCTCTTGATACCAGGAAGTGGCCAAAAATCCAAGCACATGGTGGTTCTGGATGAGTACAAATAAGTCCTTCATAATCGTGATGCCCATCTTTATACAGCTTCCCTCCAAATGTTTACAAGTCTGTTCAAGGCATGAGCGCGAGCAGAATATTTATGCTCAACAAAGCGGTCACAAGGAGGTGAATCATTAAAACCAATAGGAGAGTTTTGCTATGTTGAACCTCCAACCTGAGCTGGGAGGCGGGCGCAGGCCACTGAATAGTGGAGACGTTTCCGTTGCTGAATTACAAACGATTCCCCTATTTGCATTGCCATGACACAGTGGTGGCGCGTGGGTAGGCGGCTGTCTGCGGTAGGTGATTGGGCGTGCGGTGTTCTATGAATGTTCGTTGCATCCTTGGCAATTAATGCGGTTCGTCGTCAGTGGTGGGTTGTCAGGAAGTTTGAGTTGGTCTGCATAGGGCATAGGAAGTGAGAGCTTTGCTAATCTACAGACCGGTGTGATTCTGGTACTTGTTTCCAATTTCCTGGTATTGTTCAAAGGCGATTCCATTCAACATTCACATGTTTTATTTTTCACATTTCCAAACATGGTTTATCAAATACCTAGGTGGCAACATAGGCAGCTTGCTATTGGGCATCTTAGCCTGGTGGATGCAAGATTTGTGCTCTTGCAGATATCGATACAAGGCTTTTGGTGGAAGCAGCAATTTTCGGGCTGTTGCACCTTCTGGTTTTATTTAAAGCTGTTCTTGTTGCATCATGATAGAGTGCAAAATATTTCATTATACCTAGTCACAATCCTGGAGTACAAAATATCCTGGTATGCATTATACCAGGAAACATCAAGTTTTCCAACACAGAATAACATCTAAGTGTGACACCAAATACTTTTGTATCCAGAAATGTTGAATCGTGCCATGTACGAGATATTCTCTGCACTTCTCCCTGGTCCGCCGAGAGACGCTGTTATTGTTTTGACTGTGGGCTCGGGCCCGGTGTATGGGGGCGTCGGTATTGTTGGACGGTAAGTGGGTTAAACACGTGCTGGTGAGCAGCAACAGGCCTGGGCACGGAATGCATTACAAGGAAAGATTGTGTGTGATATGGTAGAGATTTGGCTGTAACCCGCAAGCGGTATCCCTTGTTCAGTTGTGAGTGTGGCGCGCGATGCTGTCGGAGTTGCAGGAACAGCTTGCCTCCATCCGACGTCGCTCACCGAGAACAATTTTTTTCTTTTTTTCCAGTGTATATTTGTATAGAACAAAATGTATTGGCTTAAAACACCAAGAAACACCCAAGTTGCAGACACGGCAGTGGGATGCTTGTTTTTGGGCCTGTTATGTTGGGTTTGCATGGTTATGCATTGAATTGCAGTTTGTTGTATATGTTTGGTAACTATGTTTGGTTTTGTGTCATAAGTTGTGAAAATTGTTTAAAACATTGTTCTGGCGCTTAAATAGAGGCGCCGGTTCTGCTAGGAAACAAGCTTATCTGAAAAGCAGTTGACATGTCATTGTATTTCCTATAGGAGGAGAAGGTGAGGAAGCCAAAGCTACTGAACCATCTGATGATGATCAGCTGGGGTCATCAGAACCAGATGAGTCTGGTGACCAACCTCAGCCAGATGAGCAAGGTGTGCTAATGTGTGCTAGTTTTACCATTGCTTCAGTAGTTATTGAAGTAATCAACTAAATGAAATGCTGTAGGTCAAGTAACTTGAATTAATGCTTATTGTTAATTAAAATAATGTCCTTATGAAAACCTATTTTTGTACTACCTATTGACCTTGTTTTCAGACTTGTCTGATCTTTTTTTACTGCTTTTACACTCACCAGCACTTTTCTTACTGTCATACTGTTTGCGATTATTTTCTCTCCATCTATGCTTTAGTTATATCATTTCATGTCATAGAAGTGTCATGTTCATGGTGCCAGGCACCTTTGGGACACTGAGTTTGGTTTGATTTCAACAGATGAGCCTGAACCTGCAAAGGAGCCCACCCCAGAGCCCACCAAGGAGCTTAGCCCCGAGCCAGTGCTGGCCAGGGAGCCAAGTCCTGAGCCCAGCGAGCCGAGCCCAGAGCCAGAGCCAGTTGAGGCAGAAAGTGCAGCACCGGAGCCAGTTGAGGCTGAGAGTGCAGCACCGGAGCCAGTTGAGGCAGAAAGCTCAGCACCAGAGGCTGAGGATCAGCCACCCGCAAAGAAAATCAAGTCTGAGGAGGCTGGTGCTGAGCTAGAGCAAGCAAATGCTTCTGAACCTATGGAATCAGAGCAGGCTGACAATGGAGATATAGAAGATAAGCCAATGGCTGAGTAAGTGATTGTAGTGGGTGTAGCTCAAGCAGCAGTTGTTTGTAGGGCGAGGGAATAGCTTTTAGGGCTTACAACCTTTTTGTTTTAATAGTAAGGCTCAAATATTTGTAACTTGTCAACTTATTAGTAGCTTCCATCTTTGTTTGATGCAATGTTGCTCAAGATCAAGCTAAAATTGTGAGCTCAAGTTCTAAGATTTGCTATGCAGTGCCTGCTTGGAGCCCAAGTTACCTTTCAATAATGAGGTCTCAAACTCCAGTTCTTAACAAAAATTTGCTGTTTGTACCAAGTGATGGGTCAGAACTAAAAATAAAGAACTCTTACTTAGCCATGGTCAGATTGCATAGGCATGATGCTGTTCAGGCAACAGGCAGACATTGCTAAGTTGTTGATGTTTGGAAAGGAAACATGAAAAACTCATGAATAACATTAAAAACATTTTCAGTGCTCCAGAAACAATCAAGGCTGAAGCAAAGGTGGAGGAGATTCACCTGGATGATGACAAGGAGGCTGGGGGTGATGGCCAGAAGGTTAGTGTCAGGGGTGATGACCAGGTCACTTGTCAGGGTAATGGGTAGAACATCACTGTCAGGGGTGAGAGTCAGGAGGTCAGTGTCAGGTGATGGCCAGAATGTCGGTGTCTGGTTGATGGCCATAAGGCCAGTATTGGGGTTATGGCTGGAAGGTCAGTGACAAGGGTGAGAGCCAGAAGGTCTGTGTCAGGTGATGGCCAGGTCAGTATCAGGGGGGATTGCCAGAAGGTCAGTGTCAGAGGTCATGGCCAGAATGTCAGTATCAGGGAAGATGACCAGGTCAATATCAGGGTAGGTGACCAAAAGGTCAGCTTCAGGGTTGGTGACCAGAAGATTATCAGGGGTGATGGTCAGAGTGTCAGTATTAGGGAAAATGACCAGATGGTCAGTGTCAGGGTAGATGGCCTGGAGGTCAGTATCAGAGGTGATGGCCAGAAGGTTGCTGCCCTGGTTTGCTAGACTAATGATTGTAGCACTGAAAAATATGTCTGGATGTGTTGCATTGCATTCTCCTACATGTGCTCGTTCTGTAAATGCCATCATTTTGATGTCCTCAACAAGGTGGCATTCATTCACAGAATGCAACAGATGGGTCTAGCCAGGGTGATGAGGTTCAGATAATCAAGGAGGAGGAGAAGCGTGGCATCAAGAGGGGTCGCTCCCCGGACAAACGAGAGGAGAAGAGGTAGGTGATGCCAGGCAGTCACGCTACTAAGTGCTGCCATGTGTAGTCAATTCTTAGATATGGGAGGGACTGCATTGGCAGTGAATAAATTCGCCCTGGCAAATCTTGCATTTATGTGTTTTGGGCTGGTTGGACACTTATCCAAAATGGACGTCCCTTGAGACTGGCGCGAGGGCCAGTCTGAGCATGAGCTGCCAACCAACCGCCACCGACATGTGAGCTTACGCCCTCTGACGACACCTCCGACCCACAGACCGGCCACGCCGGTGCGCGTGGAGGAGAACGAGCCCGAGTTCGACCAGTCCAAGGTCGTGCTCGACTGGTACAACTCGGACCTCAGCCTGGTGATCGACGCGGAGACGCGCTGCTCGGCCACGCCGCTCTCCACCGAAGGCTTCGGCTTCATCTGGTCGGGCGCGCGCGCCACGCACGGCTTCAAGACGGGCCGCCTCTGCTTCGAGGCCAAGGTGGGCGGGCTGACGGACCGGCGCCCGGTGACAGCGCGTTGTTCGGTCGAAACGGCGGTATTCGGGAGTGTGGTTCGCCGCCAGGTTCGGTGACGGCGAGCGTGCGTCGGGGTGTTGTCGCATGACTGGGCGGTGGCAGGCCGCGTAGCCACTTGCGGTCGGTGCGCCCGCAAGCTCCAGCCAGCTGGCTGCCGTGCTGTGACCGGTCGGTGCCGTTTCAGATCACGAAGCACAACGGCGTGGGCCACCTGACGCAGGAGGCGAACCCGCACGTGCTGCGCGTCGGCTGGTCCCTGGACCGCTGCTCCATGCAGCTCGGTGGGTGGAGCGGGCTGGGAGCCGGGCGCGAGGCCCGGTCCGGATCGGGGTGGAAGTGCAGGGTCATGGTTCAGGGTGCAGCGATTCGACGTTGCATAGGTTCTAGTCGGTCTTGGTTATGGACCCGACCATCTGCTCCAGCCCAGCCTGAACTGACGGTCGAACAGAGCGCCATGCACTGCGGCCTCAATTTGGAGAGGCGCTGGAACGATGTGGTGCGCCGAATGCCCAGTACTACTCGCCAACCATGACAGCTGTCTGATCTCCCCAGGCGAGGAACCGTTCACCTACGGGTACGGTGGCACGGCCAAGTTCTCGACCAACCTCAAATTCCAGGACTATGGAAAGAAGTTCACTGAGGGAGACGTAGTTGGAGCCTATCTTGTAAGTGGCACCCGCGTCGTCAGATCGGGGGTTTGTGTGTCTGTCAGCAGTCTGTCATTGCTGCGGTGGCTGATCCTCACACCAGATCCTTGTCGCTGTTGTGTCCCTCACGATCACCATCTGGCGTGTTATCGCCAGGACCTGGGCGAGGAGACCATCAAGATGTACTACACGGTGAACGGCGAGTACCAGGACCTGGCGTACGAGTTCCCGCGCTCCGAGCTCGGCGAGGACGCCGACGCCGCCGCGCTCTTCCCGCACGTGCTCTCCAAGAACTGCGCGCTGGCCGTCAACATGGGTCAGCTGGAGGAGGCGTGGTTCCCGGCGCCGGCCGAACTCGAGGACTATGTGTTCTGCCAGCAGGCGCCGGAGGAGGCGCGCGTGCGTGGCACCGTCGGGCCAACCAAGCGCCAGGACTGCACGGTGAGTGCGAGGAGGGAGTCGGGCTGCTGCGCGGGCGCGGCTGGCTTCGTGTTTGGCTCGCGCCGTCGGGACGCCGTGCGCTGGTGCGGTGGCGGGCTCGCTCTCTCTCGTGCGGTGCCGGTCGTCGAGTCTTGGCGCCGGTTGAGTGGGGTCCTAGTGCTCCAGTGCTCTCGCGCGGCGGTTCGGACGAGTGCGTGGGACGGCTCGGGACTGGAAGGCCCCGAGGGATGGCTATGCGCGGGCGCTGCGTGGAATGAGGGCGCTGACTGGTTCCAGATGATCATGATGGTGGGTCTGCCTGGCGCCGGCAAGACGACCTGGGCCAACAAGTACACCGAGGATAACCCGGAGATGAAGATCAACATTCTCGGCACCAACTGCCTTATCGACAAAATGAAGGTCAGTAGTGCAGGCTGGGTCTTCACATCATGGACTGTCAACTTGTATGGATGTTCTGGTTCTTGTAGTCTTTGGTCTCGCTGTCCGTCGTTGTGTGAACTCTTAGCTGTGCCTGGTGGACGTGGGGGTGGGCTCTCCTGCATAGTGACGGTCGCCGCCTGAGCTCCCGCCGGTCGCCAGGTGATGGGCCTGCCGCGCAAGAAGAACTACCACGGCCGCTGGGACCAGCTGATTGCCATGTGCACGCGCTGCCTCAACACGCTGCTGGACATGGCGTGCAAGCGCCGCCGCAACTACATCATCGACCAGGTAGGGGCCGCCGGGCAGCGTGCGGGCCGGGTCAGACGCCGCCGCCTCCCGCCAGACACAGGTGAGTGCCGGCGGCGAGCGGAGGAGCCGGGCGGACACAGGTGAGCCCAGGTAGGTGACGCTAACGGTCCCCTTTCAGCTCGGCCGGCGCACGCCGCCGCGTCCTCGGCGGCGCGCCAGGTGAGTGGCTTCCTTTCTTTGTCGGACCTCGCGGGCGGGCACGCGGCACACGCGCCACGGTAAGCAGGCAGGCAGGCGACGCGACTCCGCTTCGGCGCTGTCGGGCACACGTCTGGAGAACGAGAGGGGGAGCGCGTGGCTGAGCTCGGACGGCCGGCGCCGCTCGAGCCGGGGCCGGGTGTGAGCCGGCGCGGCCCTCGCGGCCGTGCGGCGACTGTCGGGGGCGGGAGCGGCGTTCGGTTCACTCGTTGCGCGTCCAGGTACTGAGCGAGGCGTGGGGAGTGCGCGCTGGGGGCCGCCGCTCTTCGAGCAGGCTGTTGTGCGCGTGCGGCGGGCAGCTGACCAAGACAGTGTGGGCTGTGGTGTGGGCGTCGGGCTGCGAACGAAGACGCGGCTCGCGCTGTCACGCGAGACTAGCCGGCGGGGCTGTGGCGCTCGGATGGCGCGGGTCGCCGTGTGCGCGCGGCTGGTGTGTTGACTTGGCTGACTGTGTGCAGAGGCCGGGAGGCCTGGTGTCTGCAGTGTCGCCGTCCGCGACGGCGGCTGGCGGCGCGTGTGCGGCCGCTGGTCTGACTGTGGCCTGTTCGCGCCTGTGTACACCAAGATCCGCGCGAACTGCTGCTGTGTGTGCCCCGCGGCGGCGGCGGCTGTGGTGGGGACTCCAGGGGCTGTGACCCCTGTGGCGGCGATGGGTGCCCGGTTGTCGGCGCGGGGCGCGCCGGGCCGCGCAGACGGTGGCCGACGATGGAGACAGCTCAGTACTGGACACGCGGCGGCGCGGACCGAACGCCGGTGGCGGGCTGGAGGGGAGGCATGTCGACACGCGGCTGGTGGGGTGCCAGCGGATCTGTGGGGAGGCGGAGGGGAGCCGTGACGGCGCGGGCGGAGAGACGCCGGGGCGGACCGCGGCGGCGGCCGACGCGGCGCGGCGCTCTCACAGGATCGACTGCGTCACGGGCGAAGTGGCCGAGCGACCGGCCGGACGGACAGCGCGGCGCGAGCGCAGCGACGCGATGCGAGCGAAGCAGCCGAGCGACCGGTGGAACGGACAGCGCGGCGCGGGCGGCCCGGCGGGGCGCGAGCGGAGCGACGTGACGCGAGACGCCGAGCGCAAGAAACCCAGCGGGGTGGCGAGAACGGCCCGGCGGGCCGCGCGCCCGACAGCGTGGCGCGAAAACAATGTCCGGCGAGACTCCAGACTCGGACTTTTTAGCGAGGCGAGGCGCGAGCCGAGAACGCCCGCGTCAGATGGCAGGCCCGGCGTGGGCGCGGCGCGGCGAGCGAGGCGCGCGTGGTCAGGTAAGGCGGTCCCGGGGGCGGGAGGGGACGGCCGGCGCCTCCAGCCAGGCTCTCATCACTGCCCGATTGTCGTGCCTCGCAGACCAATGTATACCAGTCGGCGCAGCGCCGCAAGATGCGCAACTTCGCGGGGTTTAAGCGCCGGGCCGTGGTCATCGTGCCCACGGACGAGGAATTCAAGAAGAGGATCGAAAAGCGCACCAGCGAGGAGGGCAAGGACGTGCCAGACTCGGCCGTGCTCGAGATGAAGGGTACGTATGGAGCGATGGTCACGGTGAGTATGGGTTGCCGGGCGGCGGGCGGCAGCACGCTCCGCGGACGGGGCCCCAGACGTGTTTGCGTGCGTGCTGTGCGCTGGTGCGTGTGTTCGCCGGGCCCGTGATGTTTGGAGACGCGTGACCCTCGCTCCTTCCTCTCCTGCACCTCTGGCGAGATCTCAGGACGGACGCTGGCGCCCCTCCCCCCCCCCCTCTCTCTCTTTGTCCCCCACTTATGCATGCTCTTTAATGGTTGGGAAGTACCTGCCCCAATGTGCGGCTGGCGACGTTGGTTTCCGCTGACGGCTCTCTTCGGCGCGCTTTCGCTCGCTTCGCGTACGAGGAAGAAGGCAGACTGGGCCTATGGCCAGCAGTATAGAGTAGGCAGTCCTATCAGTAAAAAGAAGCTGCTGGTGTCAACGCCAGCACTATGCGGCGAGTATAATCCTACAACGTCTCGTGAGTATGGCCAGGTTTGTGTTACTTCTACCATTGGACTCCCAATGGGAGATGTCTGCAGCGCCACAGGTGGTAGGGTAAGCTGTTCCAGCGGATTGCGATAGCTGTGTGGTCTGCGGTTTGGTACAAGCAGCTGGCCCCTGTACCAGCAGGTCGTCAATTTAGGCCATCCCGCAGCTGACGTGATCGGAGGAGAGACGTTGCGGCAGACAGATGTGCTTGGTCACTTGGCAGAAGGGATCCCACGGTAGGAAAGTTTTGGGAAAGTTCCCACGGTACTGCCCACGGGCTTTGGAGTTTGTGCTTGCCGGGTAGTTCCCTGCGAAAATGCATGAGAGCCTCAGTGTTCCACGCCACGTGTATACCTTTTCTGTCGGGCTCATATAAGTGTCCTGTATTGTGGCGTGTGCCCCGTCGAATCAGGCATTTCTAACCAAGCTGACGCATTCATCACGTACTACGTTAGGCCATTCGGTGCCGCCTAATTTCTTCTTAACGCGATCGGTCTGAGTTGATTCTCAGACCGGTCCCGCATTGCGAACACTCAGGTAGCTCGTGGGCTGCTCCAGCCGCGTCGGGGCCGTGGTGGCGTGAGAGAGTAGAATAAACCCCGCTACGAAGATGCCCTGCCGAATCCGACCGGTACCACTTTGTCAGCCTGTAACCAAAGCCAGTGGTGTCCAACCACGCTGGCGACATTTACGCGAGTTGTTCAGAGCATTGGCGAGGAACACTTACGCAAAGGTAGGCAGTACTGTTTACCTTATTCCGTCTCCATGTCGCTCGAAGCGACACGCACGTTTGTGACACTGTCGAGTCATGCCGAGGACAGTCGCCCTTCAGAGGTCATGTCAGGACCCGGTGATGGGCGGTCACCGCACCACGAGATGAGATTCGAGGAGCATGGACTTGTACTCCTGCTCATCATCACACGGTCCGATGCACACGCACAAGACCATCTGCAGTCCACCACTGGTGCATGACCCACCGCAGAGTACATTACTGCGGTGTGTGTGTAATGTAAAGTGACCGTTGTCGAGAGGGTGGAGAAGGGCTTCGCCGCCGCGCTCCCTGAATTCCAAACCGGCGCGGCCGACCGTACCTTACGGCGAGGCGTTGTGTCACCGTGGAGCGACTAAGGAATCGACCAACAAGCGTGTACTCCCCCCCCCCCCCATCCCTCTCCCCATCTGCTCCAGTTTGGAATCGGAGATATTTGGCCGGGCAGCTGCTGCAGAACTGGTAAATCGGTGCCCGACATGTGCTGTTCGCCATCTGTGTTGCAACCAGTGGGGTATTGTGTGTATGTCCTGCGTATGGTGGAGTGGCCCTACATGCGGTAATGGGAAGATACTTTTAGGTCACATCTTCACAGTTTAACCATGTCCTCCGGTGATTGGCAAGCGTGTATACACACACACACACACACATATATATATATATATATATATATATATATACATATACGTATGCATATGCATACACATACACATACACATACGTACATACATACGTACATATATCTACCCCTAGTTTCTTGTTATAAAAACATCGAATATCTGCCGGGGTGAGCAGATACTGTTGTTTTAGAATGACGTTCGGTTACACCTTCAAGTACCAGTGTATCATAACTTTTTGTCCCTTCCATTCGGACGTGGGCCATTTTCACCCGTCCATGTCTTGTTTTCGCTAACCCACTGTGGTATTTTTGCCACGTCGAAACGGTTGACTTTGTCCCGCGAACAGTATCGATTTCATCGCACTGGATGTGCTATCGTTACCTGGCAGTCCAGTGGTCCAGTGTCGCCCTGGCTTTGCCTTCCGTGGTAAGCAGTTCATCTTTGCCTACGCGCGTTGTAGCGTTTGTGCGCACCGAGGCTAGGGCCTCTGGCGCGGCGGCGTGGTCTGATGTCCCCGTGGCGTTGCCTTCCGTGGTAAGCAGTTCACCACTGTCTACGCACGTTGCGGCGTTTGTGCGCACCCAGTCAGGGGCCTCTGGCGCTGCGGCGTGGGCTCCACCTCCCGATGCTGCTATCTGTCCGACGACAGCCAACCGACGGCTAGGCATCGGTCATGGGCGTGTTGACCGCCGTCTAGTTTGTCCAGGGTTGGCGGGAGGAGACAGATGACGCCCGGCCTACGTGGCGAATGGTCGTGCGGCCGGCGCCCGCTCCTTACCCCTCCTGCCGCCCGTCCCTCCGGCCGCCAGCGTCCGTAGCGTGTGCACCGGTCGCCCATGCTGACCTGCGTCCCGCGCGCGCGCGGCCGGCAGCCGCCTTCAAGCTGCCAGACGTGGGCGACTACCTGGACGAGGTAGAGTTCCTGGAGGAGCAGCGCGAGGCCGCCCAGAAGCTGGTGGACACGTACGCCAAGGAGGCGCGCGACGCCGGGTACCTGCCGCCCTGGGAGAAGAAGGGCCGCTACGACAACCGCAACAGCGGCGGCGGCGACCGTGAGTGTCGTCCCGCGCCGCGGGCAGGTCGTGACCCGGGCTGGCGTGGTGGCCTGTGGGGTCAGGGGCTGCAGGGAGTGTCGGAGCGCGCGCCAAGCCAACCAGCGCCGGGTGCGCCCCTCTGTGGGTTAGCGGCGGTAAGCTGCCGACGTTCGGCCGAGTCAGGCGTGCGTCAGCAGTTCGCTGTCAGTTGTCACCGAAATGATGTGAAGGTGGGAACCACTCATAAGGCGCACCTCAATGTCGTGTGTGCTTAGGATGCTTTTGTCATTGTTTTATGTTTGTGTCTGGGCTATGCTACGTGCACGCGTCTTCTAATGTTGCCTACTTTTAGAACTGACTGTGCTTGTCCGCTCGGAACATAGCGGTCCAGCCGCCCTGGCTACCATTACCACTCTCGCCGCTGCTCATACAACTGACATGTACCGCTTCACCGACGTAGCCGCACGGCCGCGTCCACTCCGTCAACCACAATCGCGCTGCCACAGCTAACGGCGACCACACAACCCACCCCTCGCAGTCAACCACAGCCGCGCAGCCACAGCTAACGGCGACCACACAATCCGGCCCTCGCAGTCAACAGCAGCCGCGCAGCCACGGCCAACGGCGACCACACAACCCACCCCTCGTAGTCAACCACAGCCGCGCAGCCACAGCCAACGGCGACCACACAACCCACCCCTCGTAGTCAACAGCAGCCGCGCAGCCACGGCCAACGGCGACCACACAACCCACCCCTCGTAGTCAACAGCAGCCGCGCAGCCACGGCCAACGGCGACCACACAACCCACCCCTCGTAGTCAACAGCAGCCGCGTAGCCACGGCCAACGGCGACCACACAACCCACCCCTCGCAGTCAGCCACAGCCGGGCAGTGAGCGGTGCTCCGCCGGCGACCGGCCTGGCGCAGGCGCGTGGCAGCCACTAACGGGGGCGGCCGGCAGGCCGCGGTGCAGGCTTCCGCAACAACTGGGGCCACCGTGACCGCGCCGGCGGGCCGCGCTACGACCGCGACGGCCGGCCGGGCGGCTGGCGGGACGGGCCGCGCGCCGGCGGCGGCGGCAACTGGCGCGACAACCGCGCGCGCGGCGGCGGCGGCGACCGCGACCGGCGCGGCTGGTGGGGCGCCGGCCGCGACAACTACCGCGGCGGCGGCGGCGGCAACGTGAGTGCGCGGCCGGGCGGGACGAGGGGCCGATTTGTTTAGTATTTTGTGGGTCCGGGGGAGGAGGGCTCGACGGCGGCTTGTGGCCGTGCGGTGAGCGAAGGTGTAGTTTGCGGGTCTGTAAGGGGGGTCATCTGGATCGGATTACTACGCTGTCCCGGTGCCGTGCGTCGTTCCAATCTCCCACTGCCTACCGGCACTGTGTCGGGTGCCGGGATGAATGTTGACCGGTGTTCCCATTGTGACGGAGCCTGGTATGCTATGGCCCGGTCTTGGGCCAGGCATCTGCTGGTCGGTATGTGTGGTGACCTGGTAAGGCGGCTGCTGGTCGTATGTATAGTGGCCTGGTGAGGCGACCGTTGATTGTATGTGTGGTGGTCTGGTGAGGCCAGCAGCCGGCTGAGACGCGGTGCGTGACCTTGCTTGTGTGTGGCGGCGCGCCCGCAGTGGGGCCAGCAGCAGCCGCAGCCCTGGTCCGGCGGCTACCAGCAGCAGTGGGGACAGCAGGGCTGGGGCGGCTACGGCCAGCAGTACGGCCAGCAATATGGTCAGCAGGCCGGCTACGGCCAGCAGTACGGCCAACAGGCCGGCTACGGCCAGCAGTACGGCCAGAGCGGCTACGGCCAGCAGTACGGACAGCAGGGCGGCTACGGCCAGCAGGGCTACGGCCAATACTACCAGGGCTACGGTCAGGTACGTAGTGGGCGCGTACAGCCGTGGTGCCGTTCTCCGGGGCGCCCGATCGTGGCGGCATGGGCACAACTGGCTATGGTGAATCGACCGTGGTGTTGAGCGCCGTCCGTCACGTGTGTGTGGGGGGGGGGGGGAGCTGGACCAGCGTATGCGCCGTGTGATGTAGGGGACTGGAGGATCGCGTCATGCGTGCGCTAACTGGTCGTTTGATCTCCTTGGAGACCTGCGTGGCTGCCGCTGTCGTTCCATCGCTATCGTGCTCTAACCGGCCGTTCTCCCCGGGAGCGCAGGGCTACGGCCAGTCCGGGTCGTACGGCTCGCAGGGCGGCGCCGGCGGCAACTACGGCCGCTCCTAGGCGGCCACAGATGGCACCACCTGCGCGTACATTTCCATCGCATCTCCGCACGGGCCGCGGGCGCGCCGCCGCCCGACAGCGAGGCGTCAGTCGGAAGGTCACGGCCGACCCCCGCCCGAGCGGCGCGCGCGCGTGCGGACCCGGTTCTTGTGTGTAACCAAGCGCGGCGGCGAACTCGGCGAGGTACTTTTAGTTCTGGGCGAGGCGCGCCGGCTAGTTCCACGGCTATTGATTTGTACCTGCGTCGTTGTGTGTGTGTGTGCGTGTACGTGGCCGGTGTAATCACCACTGTGCGTGGATCAGAACGCCTTGTTTCTAGCTGTGTAAGCGAGACAAAAGTCGTGGTGGCCGGATCGGAACAATGCGTCGCTCCCGTGTATTTTTACCATTAATTCCCTTCGTAACGACGGTTTGGACATTTGTTTTTAACGCTAGAACATCACTCATGTGTGTCGTGCCCCGCTAGAGCTGGCACGCCCGAATGCATGGCTTCAGGAAGCGTGGTGGGGTTGTCGGCTTTGGTTTCCAGCGGGATTCTCCATCGAAGCTTTGGAACCGGATCGTAAACGTTTAAAGTACAAGATTTGGGAGAGTGTTGATGTTCAATTGCACACATACACATAAATTTTCATCTGTGGCGTTTGGAGTGGACGGCGAGGCGACCCGCGAGATGTGCCAGTCGGAATACGCAAGATATCTCCGACGATCGAATTCAGTCACGTTTTGGACGAGCAGCAAGTCGAAGGTGAGCGCATGAGGCCGATGCGTGGGTTGTGACACCGGGCACCACCGCCGATGCCGCCAGCCCGTCATCAGCAGTCCCAGACCACCAGACAGGGGTAGCGAGGCGTACGTGGGACCGGCACCAATGCGGCGGTTCGACCACTGGCTGGCACCCAGACTCCGACGCAATTGCGGCTCACCCAACGGCAGTCGACGACGTCCGTGCACTCTGATGTCTCCGGGCCGCTCTTCCACGACTCTGATGCCTGTCGCCATAGGTGGCAGATTAACAGTGAAACGGCTCACAACGGTAAATCGCGAGACGTCTCATGCGTCATGCCAGACCTAATCATCTGCCAACAGCGTCCTAGCGTCCTATAGCTGAAAGACCCGCGACTTCTCGCTGTTGCCTCAGTTAGTGAGCGGCCTTCGTTGCTGGTGTGGCGCGTCCCGCTGGTGCCTGTTGGGCGCTCTGGCGCGTCCGCTGGCCCCTGTGTGGAGTCTCGCGTCAGGTTCATACCATCGACATTGGCCGTTGCCCAGCGTAGCAAATGCACGGGTCGCACAGGCCGTTATATTATCCGTCCTGGCAGCATCCCTCCAGCTCCACGCCGCGCTGCCGCTCCGTACAGTATCAGTCCTGTTCGTTACTCCCTTAGCTCCACTTAATATCCGCCCAGCGCCCTGCGCGAACCCTCCAACTCGTGGGGTCTTGCATCCCCGCGGCTCATTCCTCCACCCCCGCGCGCGCACCTCGCCTCGCGCCCTCTCTGTCGTTACCGACGCGGCGTCCGTCGGCGCCGGCGCGACGTCTGCCGGCGTCGGCGCGGCCCGGCCGGGCGGAACGCGCCGCCGCGCCGGCCGGAACGGGCGCCGGCGGCGCGGAACGGACCGGGGCCGCCTGTTTGCGCTCCACGTCCGCGGTAATTGGGTGTAGACTATTTTAGCGGTAATTAATGTCTGTTCAGCATTTGATTGAGGAGAACAGGCGACCCGCTGAAAAAGCGGCCCGATCAGCGGCCGCTGGCCGTGGCGACGCGCTCGAGTCGGCTCGGCTTACCCGACGGAGGCGCCAGAAAAAGCGCGCGCTGTCGATAGCAATGGAGAAATATCTGCCCCGTATCACAAATAGCAGCGGTGTCTGCCCGCTAATTAGGCACACTCGTCGCGGGGGAGCTGACGGTGGGAGAGTCAGTCCACCCGGCCAGGCAACAAGGGGGACGCTAGCACCAGGGTAGCGCCACATACGCCACGTCGTTTTTCGATTAGTCCGTACGTTGTCCTGCAACCCCCTTGTGGAGCGCTAGTGATCGCGGTGGTTATGCCAACGATGGGTGCATAGCGTTAGTCGGGAGTCTACTCAGAGCGCTCACATCGGTTAGAGGACCACAGTGTCAGCCGGAAGTTTCAGACCTTTCACATGGAGCCGGGCACGCCTCCAACGGAGTTTTTCGCCCCGTAACCCACCCCGCTGGGATGATTCGCTCGTGTTCATTGCGAGGGTTTCAAAAATGCGTGCCGAAGGCTGCTGAACTCCAGTTGGACAAACCGCTGACGTTCTAGGGCCTGGGGAACCCGTGTCACGTGGCCAGAAAATGATCGCCTTCATCAGCAACACAAAGTTTGGCTGTGGTTTTATAACTGGCCGTGACCGACCGTAAATGCTCAACATTTCAGGAATCGGAGAGCTCGCATTGTGCTTCATTTTTTGTCCCCACTGAAGGCGAACGGGTACTTATTCGGAGCGTTGGGGGATAACCATTAGGGGGGGGGGGGGGGACCGTGCGGGCAAACAGGTGTCGAGAAAACCGAACCGTGTGTGGATGGTCGGGTTTTGAAGAGAGGAGAGACACGCGGGCACTCTGGGGGACGCGAAAGGATGGCCGAGTTCCCCAGAAGCCGGACCACACTTCACAAACATTAAATAAATGAGGTGGAGGCACGGGACGCGCTTGATAGCTTCTGCCAAGCTTTCCCGGCATGCACGACTCGGTGGCACTTACTTCCCACCGACACTGAGCAATTATTACCTATACTGTAAAGCGAAATACGCCTGTAGAATAGTGAGGCAGTATGGCGCATTGCTAAAACTTCCAAAGTTCTTTGGAAAGCCACACCGAAGCACCGTTCTCAAGCGGGTTTTTCTGCCATTGTGTTTGTTTAATACTCCGAATGCTGTGTTTTTCGGGTCACCTCGTGTCCCTGGACCGGCCCTGATCGGGCAAGCGGTCCGTCTCCCAGAGAGTGACATGTGCTCCAGTGAGTAATAATGTCCCCCAGCCGCCTGAACACGGGAATTGGGCTGGCTCGAGCCGCCCCGCCAATGTCAGTTGACGCAGACCAGCCATGACCAGAATACGCGGAGACTAAGGGTTGAGAATGGATATCTTCATCTTCGGTTCTAACGGATCTTGTATGTCTTAATCCACATTTAGCCCTTCAGTGGAAGATGTTGAGTACCTATCCTCTGCAGCATATTTCAAAGTCACGGGCAATTCATATTGTAACGTTGGATGTGAAAGAATTATTGGCAGCCCAGGTGCCAGGCACCAGTTGCAAGTAGCTACGGCCGGGGTCGGCGGAGTCAGGCGCCAGGCAACAGATACAAGTAGCTACGGTCCGGGCCGTTGGAGTCAGGCGCCAAGTAACGTATACGAGTTGCTACGGCCTGAGTCGGTGGAGTCAGGCGCCAAGCAACAGATACGGGTAGCTACGGCCTGAGTCGGTGGAGTCAGGCGTCGAGCAACAGATACGGGTAGCTACGGCCGGGGTCAGTGGAGCCGGGCGTCGAGCAACAGATGCGGGTAGCCACGGCCGGGGTCGGTGGACCCAGGCGCTAAGGAACAGTACGGGTAGAGCTACGGCCGGGGCCGGTGGAGTCCGGACTCCGGGGCCTTTCCTCTAAATAGACGATTTGTTTGCGTTTTGACTATATTGAATGGCACCAAGACAGAATATGACGGTAGTACCGTTTGAGCCGTGATGACGTCCATGGCGACCGGCAGCGTCGTCTGACCACCCAGCTGATGTTTGACCTTCAGATGTGGGGCAGCCTGCCCGTCGGTCCGTTACGTGCCAATCGGTGCCCCGTCTCAGGACATTTGGTTCACCGGCACAAGGCAGCAAAGTCATCAGCATAGGAAAACAGGCCTTTTGCGGCAGGGCAATGGAACTTCTCTAAGCACTGTAGCTGAAATTATTTGACAACTCAATTGTAATCCGACCCAGAGAAGCTGGATTTGCGAGACAGGGCGGCGAAACTGATGGCAGCTTTTTATAGTTATGATTTGTGTATATATTTGCATATATATCTATATATATATATATATATATATATATATATATATATATATATATATATATATAGTCGCTGCGATGAACTGGAAATATGGGGAGGAAGATCGCTGCTTTCATCCAGGACGCGGAATGCAGGTGCAACTCCTGCAAGCGAGCCAGCCGTCAACCTGCCTCGCCAAGCGCAACTGAAGTCGAACTTGCTTAAGCTGCGTTTTTCACCACGCCAACCCGGCCTCAGCCATTCGGCCCTTATTTTGGGGACGAAGGGGGCAACAGACGTGAATAAGATTCATTGGTGACCATTAGTGTAATGAGATACATGAAATTCAGCAGCGATGATGGCAGGCTGTGCCACATACACTATTTACCATCAAATAGACCAAATAAACCAAAAACTAACGAGGAGTTTAGGGCCGATGCAGCTTTTCCCCGCAGGTGGGTCCCCCTGTGGCCTGCGCAAAACTCACTGTTTTTCCGAGGTGAAGCTTGCGCACCGTGTGCCTGGTAATCAAAACGATGGATAACTGGTTTTACAGTCTGGTCGTAATGCTATTATGGAATTATCGAGGTACTTCGACCAAACTGTAAAACCTCTGCCATCTATTGCTTTAATTTGCAGGTACCATTTTTAAGTTTTGCCTCGCAAACAGTTGTGATATATATATATATATATATATATATATATATATGCATATATATATATATATGCCAAGTATCCTCAATACGTATCATATCAGGAAACTCCGAAAAAAATGATACAGCTCCTTCCTTTCTCCGCCCCACTCCCCCATCCCCGCGGGAGCATCTGATGACGGAACGCGCAGAGGCAGCTTTGTTTTGATCACGCGACCAACAGGATCTTTCATAAATGCGGTGAAATAACTCAGGAACGCCACTCCCCAAACACTGGTCCTAACGTGGCCGATGTGACCTCGGTGTTGCTCTCACTACATCGTATGCCCGACGTGGAAGGGCTGCGCACTGGAACAGACGGCTTCTAAGCCCTCATGGATTCAACAGGACGGCTACATAGCTGAATATAAAAACTTTGGGAATCACACCTATGGAGAACTGTATCGCTTCTTGCTTTGAGCTCCCTCGTACCATAACTACTGACTGCAGGATATAACCAATATGCTATCTGTAGTGGCGAAGTTTTTGGTGGACGTCTTCACTTTTGGGTAAAAGACCTCTGGATGGACCCTTTCCAAGTAATACAACGCAGTGGGGTAGCCAGGATTTCGTTCAGGAAGGGTCAAACTGGGACAACCTTTTGCTCATAGGCTACATCACTAGGCTACGTCACTACAGGGGCCGTGTTCTTTTATTGAAAGGGTCTCTTTGGGCCCGGAGTCCCATTTTGATGCATTGGAAGACGGTCTGGTGTGTTTTAGAAGTCTTACGAGCTTCTCAAGCCGTGAAAAAGTTTGGGGCATTCGCCACCAGGGGCACCCGCACCTCCAGGGGGGGGGGGGGGGGTAATGGCCCCAAAAGCTCGGTCCGCTCTCAGCTGCGCCGCTGATTCAACATGCCCTAGCCTGAGTAGATTGTGTTGCATGGAGGAGAAGTTATAATTGTGTATGGATTTTTTTCATGGAGTAGGCTGCGGCGAA